TGCTTAAGTAAAGGAATGCTGTCAGTACACAGCTGGAAACACAAATTTAACCACAGAAACACGTATCAAACTAACAATATGTCTTTATCCATGCTCTCAAAATATTAAAGCATTGTGAATACTTCGTAGAAATGTAAAAAAAAGTCATGAATTGATATACTTCATATTACCAAATCTATTTAAGGTTATTTCATGCATTCATTTGGTATAGCAATCAATAAAACAAATATCAATCAAACAGTGCGTCTTTATTTGTAATCTCAGAATATTAAAACATTTTGAACACTTCACAGCAATGTTTAAAAAATGATGCAAAGATGTGCTTAATACTACCAAATCTATTAAAGGTCATTTCAGACGATGCCATTTTGTCAACTTCAACTCACACGAAGCAGCTAAACTGTCAGGTGGCCTGTCCGACCTTCAGCCCACCAAATACCTCGACGCCCTTGTCGACCCTTTTTACGCTACAGAAAACCTGGTATTAATGTGCTGCTTTATACAGAATGTCACAGAAATGTTTCGGCCACCGCCAGCCTTTCGCACAATTGTAAAAAGGTGATATCTCCATGCCAAATATAAATGGCATACCAATCCAAAACGATGGCGCCCGTTCTCTTGATGACTTTTATTGTTGTGTAATTTGAAAGTAATCCTAGAGATGAATTTGACAGCAAAGTGGCCGCATTTCCACGTGGCGAAAATACGCATGCGCAGAAACCTCATTTCCTTGCAAATTCAATGACAACGTTTGCGACAACCGACTTCGTTGGGGGCTGGGGGGGGGCCTTTTTTTTTTTTTTTTTTTGGAGAACGGGCAAAAATCCGTGCGCGCGCAGGATGTCATCCATAAAATTAAAAAAGTGTGGCCTTAATATCATTTTACAAAGATGTCAAAAATTTTTAAGATCTTAAATGTATTGGAATCAAGTATGTGTTTATGCTTATTTGTGAGTGTGTTTGTTTGTGAGGCAAAACAGTTTTGCAAAATTATAATACTCTTGTAGTATTATGGTTTTTCATGCCTTTGGTATATGCCTATTCTTAACAGTTTCCAATTCAGACTATACTGAACCTACACCTGTTATTTCTCCCCAGATTATCATGAAACTGCTGCTGACAGGTAAAGATGGAGATGAGCGTGCTGGAGTCATGATTCCCATTCCACAATATCCACTGTATTCTGCTACCACAGCTGAATACAATGCATATCAGGTAATAGTTGCCATTTCTTTGTGATTCCCATTCCACAATATCCACTGTATTCTGCTACCACAGCTGAATATAATGCATATCAGGTAATAGTTGCCATTTCTTTGTGATTCCCATTCCACAATATCCACTGTATTCTGCTACCATGGCTGAGTATAATGACAGACAACAGTTGCCATTTGTTCCCATTCAACAATATCTACTGTATTCTGTTACCATTGCTGATTATAATGCATATCAGGTAATAGTTGCCTTTTTTGTCTGTTTGTTTTACATGATGCTTATTGCACTATATTGATTTAAAAATCAAGTAAGTAATTGCCATGTTTTTGCTTTGTTTCAGATTGATTATTACCTGGATGAAGACAACAAATGGGCTTTAGATGTCAATGAGTTGAAGAGAGCATTAAATGCTGCCAGACAGCACTGTATACCTAGAGCTATATGTGTGATCAACCCAGGAAACCCTACAGGTAAAGTACTATTACAGTTTTAATGGGCTTACCAAACATGATCATCATATTCTATGAAATATGTACCTTTTCCATTATAAAGAGATCAAAGACACTTGATAACAAAGAGATTTGATTGTATAACATTTGTGTTGAATTGGTGTAAACCTGTAAACACAAGGTTAGAGATATTGAAGAATAACATGTTATTTTATGTCAGACTGAAAGAAAAAAAAATGACTTGCATATATATATATATATATATATATATATATATATATATATATATATATATATATAGTAATTTTAAAGTTGTGTTTTTGACAAAATGTTTATTGAAAATAGAAATATGTTTCTCAAATTACAAAAACAAAATTGACTCAGATCCCATGCACAATGTGGGTTCTCTTAACCACACGCAGTTTTGTAATATGTTGAAAGTCCGCTATATTAATAAGCTATTAATCAATTTTTAAAATAATTTATTACAGGTCAAGTGTTAACAAAACAGAACATCATGGACATCATCAAGTTTGCTCATGAAGAAAAACTTTTTATCATGGCAGATGAGGTAGATTCTCCTACATTTTTAAATAGCTCTCTCTTAGTTTCAGCACTTACTTATATTTTTGTTGTAAATAGCAGTGGATATAATATTCAGGAAAATCTAGACATTATGCACTTTATCATCTGCAGGCCTGTAGCCAGCAATTTCGAAGGGAGGGTTCTTTTTCTGAAAAAGTGGACCTTTTACCATAAAAACTTAATGTACCAAGATAAAATTTTATCCAGAGTGGATCTTTTCCCAGCAAAGGGGGGGGGGGGGGGGGGGGGATCTTTCGAACCCCCCAAACTCTCCTTGGCTATGGGCCTGATCTGTCTACTACATAGAACATTCTTTTATGCTCACAAAAATGATTTTCCACTTTTTTCTGTCCATCTCCAGGTATACCAAGATAATGTCTATGGCAGTGACTCAGAATTCCACTCCTTTAAGAAGGTTCTTCATGAGATGGGGCCCAAGTATGCTGACCAGGAGCTGGCCTCCTTTATGTCTACTTCTAAAGGATACATGGGAGAGTAAGTCTGTATTTGATATTTCACATATGTTCTTGACCAACAGAGTGTGATCATGTAATTTTTAACTATGTTAGGAATCCTCAAGGACATTTTACCTGTAAGGCGGGGGCTAATACCAGAACAGAAATAAATTGAATGGCATTTTCAGATGATTTCATTTGTTGAAATCCTGTTGATTTATCTGTCCAGAAGATTAACAAATTCATTGCCCTGTTCAAAGCCCAAGGACTAGAGCACTGCTAAATGTTTAATAAAAGACAATCACTATGTATTATATCTAGTGCCATCAAAAGAGGACCCCTAATTGTCATGAAGGGGATATGAACATTGCTATTTCCTGCCTTAAAAAGGAGAAAAGTTTAATTAGATAAAAAGAAAAAAAAAAGAGAAATTTTGACTGAATCATATTTAGCCTATGGGATTTGTATGAATACAGTATTCTGAAATCATGCATTGATCAGGGTAGAGAGATGTGCATCGTTATTGAATTTAATGTTGAATTGAGGACAAAGAACGGAAAGTTGTATGGGGTAATAGTGTTACAGTAATACAATAAGTACTTTTGAGGCCTTTATATTGAATCCAAATTGACTCTTGTCATCTTGTGTTAACTGTATCAGATCTTTAGATTACATAGAAAGGGGAAAATGGCCGATTATAAGCTCCTAATATCCCTCAGGGGGAATTATACAAATTGAATTCCCAAGCCTAGCTTTTAGCATATTGCTATCAGCTTCTCCCTCCTATTCTCTTTCTGCATTAGTTTACAGCCAGAAGGAGAGAAAGTCTGTGATTTTAACTAATACCAGTTATGCAGTTACTTCTTGAACTTTGTTAGTTCTCCTTGTAGTGGAAAAGTGAATCCCAAGGGGGCTTAAAGGAAGCCACCTACATTTTAACAAGGCTGACAGTATCAAATCCTATTTTATATTTAGTTACGTTAACAGAACCCTAAAATTTGCTTTCCATTATTATTTTCGTTTTTACACTAGGGCTGCTGTACATAGCAAAATGAGTCGATATTAAACAGGGGTAAATCAATACTTTGAGTAAAACCAGATGGACAGCAACTCCTTGGGTTCTCTTTCAACTCACTTCTGGGAGTATAAGCCAATATGAAAGAGAATGAAATTGGTAGCCCTGGAATTATGAACATACTGAACAGTGAAGTGAGGGTCTTCTTAATCGTTATCTACACTTAATATGGAAGAGTCCCTGTTGCTAATATGTATTTCGTTTCCAGGGGTTTAGTGATTTTGAAAAAGCACCTTTTTCAAGTGTAAATCACTGTCTGAAGTATACTAATTATGTATACTAAGTATGTTTATAATATAATATATGAGAAGGATCTTCCAATATTCAGTTAAAAATTTTGTCTTATTTTAGCTGTAAGAAGTGATATCATATGACCTTTTGAGGAGTAATATTGTTCTTGGATGTATGTGAATTGAATAATTCTATACCACTGATAACCATGAAACATATTTACAAGAAACTGACATCAGTGGAAGAAAAATAAAGTTCAGTGGTAAACGTGAAAGCTACACATTTTCAACCTTAATATGATAAGCGTTTTAAGATATGGGACTACTTTATTGAATAATAGTAATTCATAAAGAAGTATTTCAAAATGAGTTACTTCAGTTATTTTATGGGAGAGTCCTCCTTTTTGTCAGATTTTGATGAACTTTAATCATGATATTGTTTCAGACACATTGACATTTTCATGAAATGGGTCATAAAAATTACTATTATTTTAACTATACCCCCCTGGTGCTACTTTTTCCAGGTGTGGCTACAGAGGTGGTTACTGTGAGGTCATCAACCTGGACAAAGATGTCAAGTACCAGTTACTGAAGTCTATATCAGCCAAGCTCTGCCCCAGTGTCTCAGGACAGGTGGCCATGGACGTCGTGGTGAACCCTCCTCAGAAAGGGGAGCCCTCATATGACACCTTTATGAAGGTTGGGATAAGTACATTTTTTTTTTTTTTCATAAAACTTATTATTATTTTTATTTTTTTATTTTATTTATTTATTTATTTTTTGGTTTTGTTTTTGTTTTGTATCCCTAAGAACGCCTAAATTGAAAAGATTTTATGAAAAGAGTATGAGCATTGTTTTGAAGTAGTTTAAGAAAGGTGCAGTGTTTCGTTTATGAAAAGGTACAGGTTAAGTCATAGTAAAATCTTTGATGTATTTTGGTCAGTTATGAGCAAACAGTACTATTAATTTTATAGGTTAAGAAATGACAAAAATGAAGAAATAGATGGATCACTGTTTGTATTTCAGGAGAAATCATTTGTCCTGGACACACTGAAGAAGAAAGCAGCCTTGGTCACAGACCTTTTCAACTCCATAGAAGGTATATCATGTAACCCAGTACAAGGAGCCATGTATGCCTTCCCCAGGATACTACTTCCAGAAAAAGCCTGCATAGAGGCAAAGGCAAGTCACGGATGGGTTTAGTATAGACAGCGACAGCACTTAATCTCTTCAGCATTGATTTTGGCTTGATTTTTTTACCCGGAACCACGATGGATTACCGTAGGTTGTTAAAAGATCTAAATTTTCTGTATCAAAACGAGACTTGTGAATGATGGTTTCCTGTAAGCTGTACATGTATCTTCATACCCAGGTCTGATAGAAAATTTGAGGTCTGATAAAAAATTTGAGGTCTGATATAAATTTTGAGGTCTGGGCTCTGAACTTGAAAGCATCATGAATTGCGATGGAGCACAAGCACCTCTATTCCATGACTCAGGATTTACTCGCCCCATATAATGGCCTCGAACTAAAAGGTGATATTGCTTTTCACAATTCGCGATGCTTTCGCCTGATGGAAAAGTAAAGGGAACATTATCCATCAAAGGACAACAATATGACAGATGTCATCTTTTGATGTCATCTTGGAGGACTTTGACATTCACATTTTAAATTATATATTATAATAAAACAATTATTATTATTATTATAACTTTCAATTTTGGTCAGTATGTTATTTTGCAAAGCTCAACCAAAGCCATTAGTTATCTAGATAGTAATAGGAGATCAGCTGAAGTCTCCTTTTCACCTTTTTCTCCCAAACTACAATGAACTGTTGACTACTGACAGGTGTTAGCAATACCTTAGGGCAGTGGAAAGATAGTGGTCGTAGTTTGAATTTGATTACAACTGTTAAAAGTATATTTTAAGGGCATTTTCTAGCCTTCGGCAATTTCCATAAAGCTTCAGCACGTGTGACAGGATTCATATATTGTCAATAACACTGCATCAGATAGCGGACATGCTGGCCGAGTGGCAATGTCCTTGACTGCCAAATTTGGTGGAGTGGGTTTGATTCCCACTCACTCCCCCTTATTTTTTTCTTTTATTTTTGAAAATTATTTTTATATACTAATCTCTTATCATAGTTCAATGATTGATGAGACAGGTATCAGCTAGTATAGTAATACATTATATACAGGAATGCAATATAGTAATAACTAGAATACTTTCATCTCATTTTCAGAAGAGAGGCCAGACCCCAGACTCATTCTATTGCTTCCAGCTCCTGGAGGAGACAGGGATCTGTGTGGTACCAGGAAGTGGGTTTGGACAGAAAGAGGGGACACATCACTTCAGGTTTGTATGCATTTTTATATACAGGCACTCTGTGTGTCTGTATATATTCTGATCAGTCTGTCTGTTCGTGTCATCACTGTCGCTGTCCGACACATGACATTCCCCCCATAACTGCCAAACTGTATTTTTGTTTTACTGAACATTGAACATATTGAACATTTGACAGCTTTGCTGCCTTGTTTCCTGTATGGTGTCTGTATATTTGCTAGCTTAATATAAAGATACAGTGTTTGTATATATTCTGATCACTATTTTTTTAATGGTCAGTCTAGCGTTTTTTCAGGAAAATATATGTTTCAAGTTTTTCATAGTTCACCAGGTCTATATTAAATTGATTCTTTTGATGTTGAATATCTGTATCTTCTGTTTAAAGTTGTATGTGCTCGCGTGAGCCTAAAATGTTAAATAAAATTGAATTCTGAAAATTAATATTTAACTAAAACTCCATGGCATAACGTGCAGTGAAATACTATTACAATATAATTTTCTGTTTCTTTTTTCAGGATGACTATTTTACCTCCTCTAGAGAAGGTGGAAGCTGTTCTTGGTAAATTTAAAGAGTTTCATCTGCGGTTTTTAGAAAAGTACAAGTAGGATTTTTCTATTAAGAGCTGCACTCTACCTTAAAGTTAGTATGAAGAAGTTATTTCAACTATTATTTATATTATAAGAAAATACAAGCTTGCATGTGAAATTAATGAAGACAGGTATTTAAAAATGTATTTTGAAAATTATAGCAGTTAAACAATTCCATATAACACAAAGAAAAGGCTTCCACTTTTGAACTGGAAGACTTGAGTGCTATAGTATATGTAAAGTAAAGACAAGTAAATATATATGATTATATTGAAATATGTTTCAGTAAGGTTGTCACTTAGTTATGGTGATTAACAATGAGATTTTGTGTAGATTAGCATGTGGGGAGAATTTTAAAATAAGCAGCAATAATAGGGAGTGCCTCTTATTTTTTCACAACAACAGTGAAATATGTTATTGTGGGAATTTATATGAGGATTAAAAAAAGCTTTTCAGTAAGTATGTAATAGGAAGCAAGTCATTGCAAAGAAATTGTTTAGTTTAAGTATAGTAGTTTGTATCATAATGATATTGAAACCTGACTGTAAGTATATATATATATATATATATATATGTATCACAAAATAAGCCTTTTCTTGTCTATATAAATTGCAAGATATAATTTGAGGTCAGTTTCATTTATCAGGTGCCATTTCTTTACACATGTAATTAGTTTGTTTTTTGGTAGCATTTTTTAATATTTTTTTATAATAGTCTAAAGTCTCTCTCAGAAATTTTGAATTTTGTTTGACTATTGTCTTTAGGGTGTTATTTAAAGGGAACACTTTTTTCTCTGAAAAATAAAATCCTATTTAATTTTTACATACCTTGTGACACCGTCCCTAGGCCATGTTACATCCTTAAAATAGAATAAATCAAATTACTATTTCCTGGAAGGTTTAAGTGTAAGAATTACATGAAAGCAATTCATTTGGCTTAAGACTAGTTAAAAAGAGAGATGTTATTCAAAATGTGCATTTATTATTAAATTTAAAGTTTTGGACTTAACAAGGGTGATAGTGGCAACTAGAAAGTTGTTGAGAATATTGGGAAATATATATTTATTGTTTTTTCTTTTTTTTTCACTGAAATCCGGTTCATGCTTCCTTTCAAAAATGAAAATATGAAAGATATATGCGATGTTTTTGTATAGACAATTGTTATAAAATTCCACTGAATAATAAGTTTGTGAATAATTAGCTGTGAATGTTTTAAATTAGTCAATATATTTAAATCTTATACAAGAAAATGTAAGAGAGAACAATAATTCAAGGTCTATAAGGTGAAAAAGTTCACAAGTTTTCAATCACAAGTCAAGTTCCTGAACTAGTCAGTCTATGACTGCATTCCCATAGATTTAGATTGATCCATCTAGATCGTCCTAACTCCCTGGGGCTTCATGCTAAATTGCTGTCAGCTGAGCGCGCACGGTAGTTAATTACCCCCTTACAGCTTTTAGTAGGCGGGACAGACATTTGAGCAGGCTAAGCTGACAGTAATCTAGTGAGACTCCCCACAGGGATAGATCGATCTAAAATCTGTGGGAATGGGGTCTATGAAATGAAACGTGTACAGTTAAAAAATACAGCTAAGTAATTAGACAAGCTGTACAGAAATTCTGTCTCAGACTTTTCACTTTCCCTTTGTGGGGAAAAGATGGGCATGTTGAAAAATACCTCTGCACTCACATATTTTTAAGGTCAAGGAAGAATTATTTACAATTATTATGAAGTATGTCTGATATAAAAATATGACTAAAATATAAAAAGTGCTTCATATTTTTGCAGGTGGTTTTCTGGATATGAATATAAATTTTACAAGCATGTTATGATAGTCTTCACTCCAAGTTTTAAATGTTGGGGCCCCTGAGCGTTATCAATATTCAGTGGAAAATGTTATAGTGTGGTTGATATCATGAATACTCTACCAGGGAGTAAAATTGAAATGTGTTTAATTGAGCAAGACATATTGAAGGAAGTTGGTGTTATGTATGAATTGTGTATAAATCTGTTGAAAATGAGTGGTGGAAATTGTTGTTGCAGTTGATGCAGGTTGGATTGAAGTGGTTGTGCATGCAATGCTATGATTACAGTGGCCTGTGATTTTATTTTAAAACATGTATTTCACACAGTAATAAAAGCAACTCGTTGAAAACAAAGCTGTTTATTGTTCCATTTGGTGACCTTTTTATTTCCATGCAACTGGATTTACCTTCATACTGATGAAAAAAACGATTCCATTACAACCAGAAAATGTGGAGATGATACTACAGAATGCAAACAGTCGATACTATTTTTGACTGATTTCATTTAGATTGGTAAAGTCACGATACTAAAAAAAAACTTTTGCATGTAAAATTTACCAGCCAGCTGAAGACAATATGTTCATAACTTAACTTTTACTTTCAACTGTTTGTTTGCCACAAATCTATTTGGTCGGGTCACCACTAGAGACGTAAAACTCCAGAGACCTTATAATGACCAATGACTTAAAAGAAATGTGAATACTCATTCCTGAAGTGCAATTTGTTCATAAATTTCAATATCATGTTACAGCAATAATAATTGCAGCCATTTATTTAATTTTTTCTTTAAAATTTAAATTGTGATTTTTAAATCCAACAAAAATCTCACAATTTTGAAGGCTACCCTGAAAAAAACAATAAGCTATGACTGCATTTTAAGTTGATCACTACACTGATAGTTTACAAATTATACAGTAGTTAAAGAATGCTACTTAGGCCTCAAAACTGGTGTTAAATACTCAAATAATAATAGTTACTTATAAGCAGTACATACCAAAGGGAAAAAAAGACAAGTAATATTTCATATAAAATAATCTTTATTCAGTGATAATAAAACATAAAAAGAACGAAAATTAAATGATGTCCTAATCTGCCCTTTTGCAAAATATTTCGTACCAGAAACCCACATTTCAATGATTTTATAATTAACATTTCTACACAACATTGATACACACTGGCCATTTGTGCTTAAATAAACGTGCATTGTATTTGCACCTAAATTGAAGCAATTTTGTATGCGCAATGCAACAGATTCATGTGAATATTGTTTATTCATGTTTCGTTAATACTAAGTAGCAAATAATAACCTGAACTGAGTTTTTACACAACATGTTGTAGATTTTCTTTATGAATTGCGCTCAGTAAGATATATGCAATTAACGGTTATTAAAAGTGATTTTATCAAACAATGCGCTGCACATTTTCATTCATAATTTTCAAAACAAGAAAAACGTGATATAATACAAATATAGACCGATTCTTTAAATCAATTTGCTAAGTTATATACAAATATATGTGTGTTTTATTTGTGCATCGACAGTTAAAATATTAACTTAGTAGAGTTTACTTATGGGAAATTACCTGTAACATACAAGACAATTCAATAAACGTGTGAAAACTTTTAACGTTTTCTTATATATTTTGTAAATGCACTTTACCTGAAATATTAATAACTCGTTTACATTTTTAACCTAATAGGTAAAATAATTCACTCATATTGTGTAATGCGGTGTCATCTTCTATATGGTATATGCCCAGTCACGCGAGATGTACATGTACATTGTAGTATGTTGACTTTGAAAATGCGTTTTTATTTTATTTTGTGTGTGTGTGTGTGTGTGTGCATCATTATGCCTTTATCAAACCCTTTTTTTCGAGATATGGACTTATTGTGCTCTCAGAATAAAACAGAATATAATTCATACCGAAGCGTCCATACGGAAAGTAGGTGACCTATTTATCATTATGTAAATCAGGTGAGCGTTTTGGTGAGAGGTGCTCAGATAGGACCAAGGTCAGTAAGAAGATGGAGAAGAAGGATGCCCCATGCCATATTACAGCTACTGCCACATGAAGGTAAAAAAGATGGCTCTGAAACCGGCAGCAGTATGTCGTAAGTTCTGTACAGATGATATAAGATGTATTGTAGCATTTTTTAGTTTTGCATTGACAATTTTTTCCAAATGGTGCACTCTAGGCATAATGACCATGGGGACATCTAACTGACGTCAAGAATACTTTCTCTTAGCTTTCCCTCAGTGCCTTTGGGCACCCTTTTGTTTCTAATACCATTCGCTTTCCATGAGGGTTCAATATGAATTATGTATCTGTATAATATAAAGTTTAATTGCAATTCGTTAATTATAGCGCAAAGGATACTGGTCAGCACAAATGCCTGTAATGAGCATGTACTGTTTATCCGATTTTTATACGTTATTTCATGAGTGTGAACTTATTCCTTTATTTCCAGTGACTCGAAGTAGCGTCTACGAAGACACCAGAGAGACACGTTTCATGTTCGACAAATACCTACAGGCCCACAACCATACCAAGATTGCCTCCTATGCCGACGTTTGTGCGTTAATTTGCAGGGACGACATTTAGTATGGAATGTTATGTTTGCTTTTGGTTGTAACATTCTGCTCCAAAACGTAAATCAAATTAAAAGTCGAATAAAATTAGCTTTTTATTTATGAAACTTATCATAGAAATTAAATCCATACTAAGCGTCCGCCCTGCATGATGCTGGTTTATATCTTTTGGTAATTGTACCGGTATGTTACTATGTCGTAGTACAGTTGTGGTGTTATGTATACTATTCGGTTGGGGTTGATACTCACCCCTTTTTGAACCTGAAATGTTAGATTTAAAGTGCTCATTTAACAGAAATAATGTCTGCATAAAAATGATAAAGTAACTGTTTTAAAATTCTCATATATTAATTTCCAAGAAGAGAAACGTTTTCTTTTTGTCACTGAAAATATGTGTGGGCAAATCTGCAACTTGACATCTCCCTGTGAATTTGAAGATATACTCTTATTCATTCTAAATGATGTTGACATTTCACACACATGATATCGTAAATGCATATTGGAAACTTTTAATTACATATATCGTGTGTTCAGTCGAAAAAGAGGAATAGATGTAAATCTACTAAAGACACTGTTAATAAAACGTAAAACGTCTTAGAAATCCAAACAATGTAACGGGCCCAATTTGTCCACGTCACTGCAGAATTGTCCACATGTACTGTAACGATCTATTAAAATTACGGCTAAGGCAGTGTGGCTGTGAATAAACTTCCTCTGGTTCTCGGTATTTTCAGTGCTGGGCGGGGGTCAAATATCTGATTTCAGAAACAAAATTAAGCGATGGGGTGGGGTAAAGATTGCTATCCGAAATAAAATTCATTTTATATTGAAGTAGTAGAATGGAAATCTTTGTTTCGTATATAATAAGAAAACTATTCATATAGTTGGCTACAAAAATTTCCCAGGATTGGGATCATTTATATGCTGTTTAGGACTTGAATTACAAAACAGAAGTGTCGGAAAAAAAACGGGAAACAGACTTCATTTAGATATCGTTTGTCCATTAAAATGTTTTCGTAGGACTGGCATTAATCATAGCCTTTTGCATTTCATATTTTCAAAATCCCTTGACCTGTCGCAAAGCCCAATTTTCGGGAGGTAATGAGTATTCTGAAAGGATTCAATGAATCTCTAGACAGTCAACTTTTGTCAATTTTGCTCAAAAAGATGGTAACCAATTAATAATTCTTAAAATTATAATTAAAAAAAAATTAGATTATAGGGTTTATTATTTTATGTGTTACACTCAAGTCCATTCTTACATTTTGATCCGTTAGTTATCAAAGAATGTTACGGAATAATCATCTAAAAATTTATTGTTCCTCTAAACGCTAATTTCGATATTTTACCAAAGTGTATGTAAACCTAAATACTTCGTTTGGTTTGAAATTTTCGAGTAAAAAACTTGCCTAAAACGTGAAGAGGAGCTTCCTAATTAAAGTTATTTAATTTTTGTATCCTTATAAATTTTAATTTATTTTCGGGAGCAAGGGGTAATTGAGAAAGACAGGCTTGGTTAGATATCAGCCCTGCATTCCCATGCTGTGTTATTTGTGCTTAGTGTCATCAATGAAAACCGAGAACCAGAGTTAATTTTAAGTGAATGTGAAAAGTCGATTCAAGTACACTGATTTTTGTGTAACCTTTTTAGTTTTGTTTGTATATTATTCTGAATTTGGCAAGGACTTGGATAATCTTGTAAGCCTCCCATGTCTTTATGTCGCTCCTGATTCCCATGCTTTGCAAGTGTAAATTTTCATCCACAATTACGCACTGTATGATATTTATTTTCTGATTTAGTGCAAATAAAACAAAAATNTTTTTAATATCCTAGACCCCTTAATACTTCGTTTGGTTTGAAATTTTCGAGTAAAAAACGTGCCTAAAACGTGAAGAGGAGCTTCCTAATTAAAGTTATTTAATTTTTGTATCCTTATACATTTTAATTTATTTTCGGAAGCAAGGGGTAATTGAGAAAGACAGGCTTGGTTAGATATCAGTCCTGCATTCC